CTTACCAAGCATTGGCTGTTGCAAAATTTTAAATGAAAACCAGTAAACATATTCAGTGCTTTGAAAGTTTTGTTAAGTTCAAATATCCCATTATAATAGCTTTGGTGACCCAAAGCTTTAGCTTTAATAGGAGAAATAAAAATGTTTTTAGTTTGCTACTCATGATTTTTATCTTATTGTTTTGCTTTAAGGATTTTTACCCGTAATCATCCCTCTCTTCATTTTTGGGATTTTTTCCATTTGTTTATTTATTTGTTTACCCAATTTGTTTATTCTGATGGAATCAATAGAGTTTAGTAGTAAGTTTTGGGATGTGTAATCACATTTTCCATTACTTTCCCCACATTTACTGCATATTGTTTTCCTCCTCATTAAACCAAAATGATAAAGAAGAAAAGCTAAAGAAATAAAATACACTTAGGATAAAAAATCATTTTCATTTTCTGATGCAATTTTTGCTTTGTCTTAGTGTCTGATTTCTTTCCTGTCTGGATCAGGATGGAAAGCTTGACCTCTATAATGTCTTCAACCCAAGTCTTGGCTTGGCATAAATGTTTGGGGAGGAAATGGGAGACTGTATTGTTCTGCAATGTTGTACAGATTTTCCTGGGGTCATTATTACAGGAAATAAGATGTGATTTTCAATGAAGTGCTTTGATATCTCCACCACTCCCCTCAGCAGCTTTGCCTTTACACAACTATAAATATTGTCCAGATCCTTGGCTTCTAACATTGCTTATTTATAAGCTAGCTCTTGTTTGTATTTGTTTCACTAAAAGAATAGTTATGTTTAAATATAAAAAGTCAATGAAATGTACATCAACTCATGAGTTATAACCATGTAGCTGGTAGGTGCTTTGTTTGAAGATAGGATGTATATTCCAGTTATATTGTTATCATTTTTATTGAGTCAGGAAATACTTGGACATTAAAGGAGGGGGGGGGGGGAAATCTGTGGCCAAAAATGCTGTTTTTCTCTTACCTCAAAGCTCAGTTCTGAAGATTGCAGTCTTCAAAGCCTTTTTTATTTCCAGTGTTCAATTTTAATTAAAAACCACATTCAATTCTATAATCCCATCTGCAGATTCAAAAAGGGAATTCATATAAGAGAAAATTAACTTATTATTATTAAAAGTACACAGCCTTTCTAATAGATATAATAGAAAAACCATCTTCTGCAGGCTCACTGGTGGTTCCCTACATAATAACTAAAATATTAGCATATTTAATGGATTTTCTCACCTGCGAATGATGAACTTATTTTTTAAAACATACTTCATTTGACTTCGGTGATAAGGGCATTTTCCCCAGGAAAGAGATGTTATAGGCTGCTATTTTCTACTGGCAGCTATCAGAATTTGAACTCTTTGAAGTCTTGACTTTGTTAGATGCAGATTCCGTTTATTCTTTTTTAGGCAAATTTATGGCACATGGTTAATCTCTTAAATTGTATTTCCTAAAATAATTCACCTATGGGTTGTTCTGGTGGATCATACCTGTAATCCTAGCTACTCAGGAGTCTGGGATCTGAGGATCATGGTTCAAAGCCAGCATGTGGGAAAGCCCACTCTTACTTCCAATTAAACACATACACACATACGTACACACATACACAAGCTGGAAGTAAGTAGAGCTGTGGCTCAAATGATGGTACACTAACTAGCTTTGAGCATAAAAGCTCAGGAGCAGTGCCCAGGCCCTGGGTTCAAGCTTCAGGACCAGCACTCAAAAAAAAGTCATCTATTCTCTGTTCCACTTATTAGGCACATGGTTCACACTTGTGTGCATACACACTCACATACATATCATATATATATATATACATATACATAGATATATGTATATATCTACACATATATGTAAATATATACATTTATATATGCATATACACATATATATGCATATACACACATATATACATGCATATACATAGATGTATACATCTATGTATATGTGTGTATGTGTAGAGAGAGAGAGAAGAGAGAGGGTTTGAATTCATTGCCTAGTATTTGCTAAGCCACTCTCTCAACCCATAGGCTCAGTCAATAGGCTTTGCTGTTGTGCAGAGTCTACATGTGTTGATTATCATGACTATGCACAACAGCAGAACATTTTCTGGGGTTTCCCCTTGGCATTCTCCAAGAAAATGTAAGCCTGTCTTCAGTGGCATCAGCAGGCAAGTCCAGGTAACACTGTGGATGGCAGCTAAAAGGAATTACTTTCAAAGAGCTCTATCCTAGCTGCACACAAGACAAATATGATGTATAGCTTCCAGTTCACTATTTGTTCCTCAATTGTCTTTCCCAAAGCTTTGGAGAAATCATGGGGAAATATCTGTGTAGAAAAAGGAATATGTGAGACAAATGAACTTTTAAAAAGGGCTGTGCAAATTTTAACTTGAAAAGGAGCATAAAAGCTGGTCAGCAGGGTTTGATTCTTAAGTCTTGTCTGTTCTCAGCACATGAGTCAGTGTCTGGGCTGATATTTGCAGTTATCATAGTAGGACTGGGTTGTTTCCTTTGTGTACTGTACCCTATTTTTTGTATTTCAGTGTGTGTGGTTGAAATACATTTCACGTCGCTTTATGGGAATATGTCATAGGCTATGTATTTGTGTATCCTATATTCATACATAAATAAAATACGATATGTAGAATGCATTCCACATGTCATATTGTATGTATGATAGACATGTATGTATATGTAGATACATGTATAAATCAAATATTATAGATAGAATATATATCATACTGTATTCTTTCAAACTTAATCATTACTTACTTGTACCTTGTATTTGTATTTTTTTGGTTCTGTACTACTTTTTTTCCCTCTAATTCCTGTCTGTATTCTATAGAATCTATCTTGGTCATAGTGAAATTTTATTTTGTCCCTAGCTTTTGATGAGTGCTTAGACACATTAAAAACTTTTCTGGGTATTTAAGTGTTCAAAATGCATGATTTGTTTTGATAACAGAAGTATTCAGACATGCACAATATTTATGTATACTCTATAAAGCTCAATGTGTGCCTGATTTAATGATACATGTATAGACAAACATTACAAGAATAAGCACTTAGACTCATGGATTTCTCCTACCACTGCCTGTCACTCATCTGTTAGGTCTCATGCCAATACATTTGCATATTGTACAACATGATCCTGGGAGGAAGAGAAGCTTCATTGTCTAGGATTCCAAGGAAACAGTCACCCAACAAAATCCTGGGGACAATATACCCAATCTCTATAGACAGTGCCACTTTTTTGTTTCTTACTACCCTGCTTCTTGTGTCTCTCTCCTGTAAATAATTTGGATTCTCAAAGAAATGATGTGTGTATCTATACAGTCTTAAAAGAAGTTGTGAAACTTTGGATGTTTGGTTGGGCGCATTAGTCAGGTGTCAAGAATGTGGCAATGAATGGAATAGATGAGAACTGTTTTCATCCTGGGGTTCTCAAACTTGAACAACCTCACATGAGAAGTACCTGGAAAAGTGTTTATTAAAATACATTGCTGGGCCCACCCTCAAAGATTTGATTCAGTAGAACTGGATGGGGCTTGGGATTTTGCATTTTTAGCAAGTTACCCTATAACACAGGCTGAATAGAACATTTTGAGAATCCCTAGTCTAGGGTCAGCTGTGCATGTGTCTTGGATGAGAAAATGGAAGCTAAAAACAGAGAAAAGGCTTTCCTGATTGTAGTGGATTAACATCTAGTCTAGAGTGAGGATGATATATTCTGTCCCTGGTCGTTTCATATTTTCTGATTAGTCAGAGCAGGATTAGAGCCCCTCTTGACCTGCTGACCAACTATAGAAAATGTGAAAAACTCAATCTAGGTTCCTGTCTGTGGATAACTCTATCTGCAGCTGGCCATTTTATTATTCTGTACAGAAAGAGCATGTTTTGTTTTTTCTATACTGCCTAAAATTACCTAAGTATATTTTACAGTCTTTATATCTATTTCTAGTTATGAATAGGACATTTATTTGTTGATTTAAGACAGCTTAGAGATTAATATTAATATCGTTTTTCAAACATGGCCTATTTAACTCAGGTTTGTAGTATGACAAGAAAAATCCAGTTAAAGACAACATAGGTGACAAGAGATGGAGAACATAGAAATGGCTGAATTTTCCCTTGGATCCAAAGGCTTTACTTTCAATTCCATGAAGTTTGCGAGACATATTCCTTCATCCTTTAATAGTTTCCTGCTATTTCTCTAGCTTGTGATTTTATGGTGGGAAATATCTTTTTTCTGACATATACAAACTAAGGTAAAAATGATTTTGATAGTTGATTAATTTTCTTTATAGACATCATGAAATTCTTTTAATAACATTATGTTTGTTGAATTTAGTTGGCAAGATGGTATAGTGAAAGGGGCTGTGTACTTGTGGATTCTGAATATCGATTTAATTTCGGTGATTGCCTTATGGGATTGAAGATGGCTAAAATGGCATTGATGTACCATAAAATGTACATGACTATTTCCTGATATATTAGAACAGGGTACAGCAAGAGTTAATTTTGAGTGATTGAGGAAATTAAAACAACTATTCTTTTCCAAACCAATGGAGAAGCACATTTAGAGCTGTACTCAATTCAACTCAAAATATGTTGACAAATGGCCTTCTATGTTTATGGAAAGCCCTATTCTAGGTAGATTTTAGATCTGCATTGTGCCTTAAGAGCTAGAGAATGAATTGTTATGACATGAATCTAGAACATATGTGTGTTTATAGTTATACATATGCCAATATTTATTCGTGGAGTTATAGTTGAATGATAAAGGCAAAAACTAATCTTGACATTGATGGGATTACTTTCCATTTCAGAAGAACAAAGGCAACATGTTTCCGTGTGTATACCTTGAGAATGTTTGCCCATTTTTGGACAAACCTTTTGTTCTTTTGGACAAAACATTTGACAAACCTGTCTTTTCATGTTGTATATATAGAATTCAGGCTAAAATTCTGATGTTGTCTTTTGTCTTTTCAGCGTCTTGTGGAGGCTGCAGAAGAGGCACACCTGAAACATGAATTTGATGCAGACTTGCAGGTAACTGGCTGTCATTTAAGTTACATTGTTTTGTTTTTGGAAGAGAAAGGCTTGTGCAATGATGGTATTGAGCTGGAATAAATGTGCCTCTTTCTAGTAAAGGAAGAGCTGTTAACCTCAATCATTTTCTATCAATGGCAGTTAATAATGGATAATGCTATGATCTTACATGTGTATAGCCAAATTTCAATGAAAATTTCTCTAATGTTTGGGGAATTAGATCACTAACAGTAATCACCAAAGCTTTCAATGACAAAATGAAAAAATACTTGGTGCTAGTTGCTCTCATCTGTAATGCAGGCTACTCAAGTCTGAGATCCAAGGATCATTGTTTGAAGGTAGCTTGGGAAAACAAATATGAGTGACTCATATTTAATTAACCAGCAAAAAACTGGAAGTAGATGTGTGGTTCAAGTGGTAGAGCTCTAGCCTTGATTGAAAAAACCAAGCAAAGTAAAAAAGGAAAAGTAGTAGAATATATCCAAATCCACTTCAGGTGGCATTTTGAAAGCGAGATTGTGATGGCTTTATCCTTGAATTGGTTTTCAAAGTTGACATCATTATGTTTATATGCTAAATTAACACTTATTTAATAAATTTCTTGCTGTACATTTTGTACCCAGTCATGACAGACTGTGTTTGGTTAAGAAAGATTTAGATGTTGATGAGTATCAAAACTGTAGCAAAAGGCAACAAGTGAATGGAAAAATACTTGGATATTTCTGTGGGCTATTTCTGAAAGAACTTGCCAAAGTTATCATTTTGAGTTTTGTCATTTTTCCACATAGCTAGATAAATAAAAAGAGCAAACCTTAATCTTTAAGCCTGCATTTTGCTAGAGTGTATCTTTTTTAATGACATGTGCTCACCATTAGTAAATAATGTTCATTTTGCTATGCTTTCATTTATTTGGAAAAGATAAAAACAGATGTAAGTCTTTTTTTTTTTTTTTGGTCAGTTGTGGGGCTTGAACTCTGGGCCTGGGTGCTGTCCCTCAGCTCTTCAGCTCAAGGCGAGTGCTCTACCGCTAGAGCCACAGCACCACTTCCAGTTTTCTGAGTGGTTTATTGGAGATAAGAGGTTCACGGACTTTTCTACCCTGGCTGGCTTTGAACTGAGATCCTCAGATCTCAGCCTCCCAAGTAGCTAGGATTACAGGTGTGAGTCACTGGCACCCAGCCAGATGTAAGTCTTTAAGTACAAAACAATGATGACAATACAAAAAAAGCATTTAGCTATGTCTCTCCTATGGATGCACCTCCTGTCATCACTTTTTGCCTTGTGGCTACTAGAATGGACACTCAAATGGGGTAATTGATGAAAGTTTAATAAAGGGAATATTGGCCAATGTGTGTTCAAAGTTAAGAGAAACAAGTAAGTGTTGATGGTGTAGCCCAGACCTAATCATACTTCTAGGCCTGAGAAAGTATGAGGAAGGATCTGTTTTCCAGAATTAAGAGATAATGCCTATAGAAAAAGGGTACTTTTTAGAGGAGTGCAATCATTCATCGTAAACTGGCAGCAGGAGAATTAGTAGGGAAGAGAACCCAATAATTTGCTTTCTTACCTCTTGTCCACCAGTGAAGAATCTAACTCTTAGTGTAGTTGATACAGTTTAGCCTCCTGGGTCTTTGAGTTGGTTAGATTAAGGTAGAAAGATGGGTCTAGAGGGGCTAACAGAAAATAGTAAGCCCACAATCTAGGATTATTTTCAGGTATAATACACAACATGCGAAACAAAAGAAACAGAAAGGTTGACAAGCATAAGAGATTCCAGGGGATATGCAGAACTACATAGATGGTTGGGAACATTAGGAGAGCCTATATTTGGACAGGGAAATGATAGCAAAAAGATCTTACAATATTGCAAGAACCTCATCTCTCTATAGTCATCCTTACATGGTGGCTTCATCTACTGGCCACATTTATCTCCAATAAGCTGGTCTTCAGCAGTTTGGATTTCCTAGAACAGTTCAGACGGATTTAATGATTTAATATAAGCATCAGGAAACACTTTTTTAAATGTAAAGATGGCCTCTTTAGCCTTTTCAACTAATTTCTAGGGAAATGGTCCCATTTCTTTGGGAATCTAGATCCTTTTCAGAATATTGTGGTTTTACAGAAACTCAATTCAAATTAACTTTAAATCAGAGTGTAACAATGAATGAAATAAGAATCCATCTGTCTACTTGGATAAGTAGATCAAATGATAAATAGGTCATGACATACAGAAATGAAGAGAGAATGCTTTTTCAGTAGAAAGCCATCTAATACTTATGGGGGAAATGATAGAGTTATAAGAATTATGGTAATAATTGCTTCATGCAAGGATCTCCAATGGGTACTGAAACTAGTGGGCAATGTTTGATGGGAGCAGGATATTTATAATTTCCAAGTATAGTATTTGCCCACAAACAACTTATTTATGATGAAACAAAAAATTATTAACTTTATCGTGGAAAAGCCTGGCAACTACCACCTGAAATTTGCAATCAAAGTTATTGCCACTAATGTGAGAGCATGACATTGACTTCCTCTGGATGTGATTATCTGAAATAATGCAGTGTCCTTGAGGTAAAATTGTTACCCGAAATGTGTACCCCAAGTGTAATCATGATAAAGCATCAGCCAATTTAGGTTGAGGAACTTTCTGAAATTTCCTTAAAAATGTCAAGTTCAAGAAAGACAATCAGCTGGGCATGGTGGTGCCAACCTGTAATCCCAACACTGGGAAAGCTAAGGCAGGAACAGGAGGTTCATGAACTTGATACAAGACTGGGGCTACACCCTGTCAGAAGAGAAAAGAGGAGAGAAGAAAAGAGCAAGAGAAAGAGAAGAGTGAGAGAGATTGAGAACATCTTTATAATTAAGAGATTAAGGCAGCATGCCAATTAAATGTAATGTGTGATTCTAAATTAGAGTCTTGAGCTAGAAAGCAAGATTGAATATAAACAGTACATTGATAATAATATCACATCAGTGTTGGGTTACCTGATTTTGACACCTACGCTGAAATTATGTTAGAAAATACCCTTTTATTCTGGTTTTTCTTGGACCAAGATTTGGATTCACTGGTCAAGATGGAAGGAATTTTCAGGAGTAAGAAAAATTGTTGAAGTCTGGACTTCCTTGGTTAACCTGGTTCTTATGGATCTGGCATTTATAATTTGACTGAGATAAATTGTCTACTAAGCATAGGTGAGCTGAGACATGGGAGGGGATTATTTATCCTTCAGCAGAGGAAGGACATTCATGGTCTTAGTTCAACTAATATAGAGATACTTTTTATTTTTTACTTTTTGTCCATGTGAAGCTATTGCTTCCAAGAATAGTCTCATTTCCTATTATTGAAGCTTTACTAAAAAAAACCTGGTGTTACACAATTGATTCCCTCTTGTCCAACTTGGAGCTATAAACACAAATGCAGTATTGAGATCTCTCTTGATGAAAAATATGACACAGAAAACAAGTCTCTATTGTTGGTTCTGGGACCTCCTTTATATGTGAACTATCAGAGGGTACCACTGACACCTGAGCACAAAAGAGATGTTGCAATAAACTGTCAGCATTAAAGAATGTCATCCACTCTCCAGACCTCAGACCTTGGTGAAATCTCATGGTCAGAGCAAACTCTATACACTTTGGTAAAAACCTATAAAAGAGAGACCTTTGATAAAATGGACGTGCATCAAAGAAGGTTTTGAAGCTTCTGAAGCTCTAATGCTATTAAGTGCAACTCTTCTAGTAGCCTCGGTGTCAGCCCGTTGCTATTACAGAGGTAGCAGGCCTGTGCACTGGCTCTGAGTTTATTGCTCTGATGGTCCATTAGAGCTGATCAATTGTTAATTCAGTGCCACTGACCTCTTCACAACCCTGCCAGAGGATTGTTTTTTATTAAAAAAAAAGTCTCAGATACTATCACCTCATTGTGCAGTAATACCAAGAAGGACTCTGAACTGTTAGAGCAGGAAGAACAGAGGGAATGAATCCATTTTCCTACTGAAAAAAATAAATAGAAAAGCAGTATTTTTGTAAAATTTCCAAGTTTCATAGATCTGAGATTCCTTGTCACCAAACAGAAAAGAGATGTTATCACTGTCTTCCCCTCATTTTAGATGGAAGTCTTCATACTGTTGTGGCATTCAAGTACTTTAAAAATGAAGACTTTGAGCTCAGTGTGGTAGCTCATGCCTATAATCAATCCTAGGTATTGGGGCGGGGTAGGGGGAAAGCTGAGATCAGTGGAATATGGTTGGAGGACAGTCTCACCAGAAACAATATATAATACCTCCTTCTCAAACAGTAGTAAAGTGATGGTGGACCCCTCTTATCTCAACTGTACAGGAGGCTGTGATGGGGAAGATGGAGGTTCTATGCCAGCCTGACCTAGTTCAAAAGTTCTCAAGACTCCATCTCAATAGCAGAAACTGTGTGTGATAGTGGGTGCCTGTCATCCCAGTGATGATGAGAGGTATAAAATAGGACGATTACATTTCAGGTGGAAGCAGGGCAAAAAGTGAGACCCTATCTCAAAATAACCAATGCAAAAAAAAAGGACTGGAGCTGTGTCTCCATGGTAGAATACCAGCCTGGCAAGCACGATGCCCTGAGTAAAACCCAGAACTGCCAAAAAAAAAAGAGAGAATTTGCCATTTATTATTAGAGGCATCAAACGTTACCTTCCAAAAGGTCATGTCCTTTTCTTTATTGCCAGTATTCTATTTTTCACTTTAGCTTGCTCTCATAGTAACTCCAGAAGTTTAACTTTTTCACTTGTGAGCTCATGGCCTTAATGTTTACAGTTCTCTGTAAGGACCTTAAATATGGTGTTAGTTTGCTAGCCCTTAACAAAAATTATATTGAGAAAAGAGGCAAAATACAGCCTCTGATAGGCAGCATATACAAACAAAGCAAAAGTTAAAGTGTTCTATAGAAATCAAATCTGCCTCATCTTAATTTGCTGAACAACTTTCTTGTGGATCCAAGTTCAGCCTTCTCGT